AAATGTAAATAAATTGGTAAATTTAAATAAATCTTGAGGAAATCAAAGGAATTTAGAAGAAATCATGAGAAATCAGAAGAGTCTGTGGAAATCAGAAAAAATCACAAAAAAACAAAGACAATTAAAAGAAACTACAAAAAATCAAAAGAAATTTTAAGAAATTCAAATAAAAACGTGAGAGAAACTCAGAAAAAAATGAAGAAAATCAGACAAATTTAAAAGAAATTAAAGGAAATCAAACAAAATCAAAGGAAATTAGAAGAAATCTCTAGAAAATTAAGGAAAATTAGAGAAAATTATTAAGGAATCAAGAAAAATCAGAAACAATCAAAGGAAATCATCCGTTTCTTGGCAAATTAAAAGAAATCTTGAGAAAAACAGAAAAATTCTAAGGAATTTAAGAGACATAAGGGTGTAATCAGAAGAAATGAAACGAAATTATAAAGCATTCAGTAAATATCGGAGAAAATAAGACGAAATAAAAAAAAACAATAGTGAATTAAAGAAAATAAGAAAAATCAAGAAAAATCAGAGAAAATAAGAAGAGATTAGAAGATATCATTGGGACATCAAAAAGAATCAGGAAAAAMCAACGGAAATCAGAAGAAAGTATAAGAAAATTATCAAATTACAAGAAATCTTCAGGAAATTATTAGGATATTAAAAGAGTTAGAAGAAATTAAAGAGAATTTCAAGAAACTAGTAGAAATTTGTGGGTAAATCAGAAAAACTCAGAAGGTATCACAAAAAACAAAAAAGTCAAAAAAAAATAAAAAAACACGAAAAAATTAAAGGAAATTTTAAGAAATTCAAAGAAAGAAGGAATTTAAAAAAAAATATTGAAAATCAAAAAAAATCAAGAGAAATTAGAGAAAATGCGATTTCTAGGCTTAAAAGTTCAAGGTTCGCGTCTACCTGCACTTTATCAACTTTTTTTTTTCGTTAAAAACACTCAAAATGTTAAAGTTGGGATAATGTCGAACACAGCTTGACGCAAATGGCTGTAGAATGTTTCATTAAGGGCCAATGTCGGTGTTAATTTTTCGTAAAGTGGTCCTTTATACATTAATAACGACTGCTAACACTGCAACAATTTCGATTTGTGCCAAACTAATAATCACTTTAGCTATAGGACAATAATTTAGTCTAAACAATAAACTCTCCAGAGCATTGAGTTCATTGTTACAATTTAGTATATAAACAGACAAGTATGTTGCTATTGAACCGACTGGAATCGCTGTTAACAAGTTTATGCTTGAATCGTAATCAGCTATCGATTATCAAGAGAGATTTCCAGTACAAGAAATTCGAAACTGCTAAACTTTTCAAATATTTCAGCACAAATGTAATGTACAACGTATGAGCAAGTTTCCGGATTATAGTTGAAATAAATTGAACAAACTTACCTTCGACAAACAAAAAGAAACCTTTTGGATTTTTTAGGAGGATGGAGAGGGCTGAACGCGTCATGTCGGCCAAGGAGGGATCTCCAGAAGGACCAGCGTCGCGGTCAGCCTCGAAATCCATGTGCGAATAAGCGAATAAACCTGTGAAAATTTTATTATTGAAACTTGAAAATTGGGGATAAATTAAAGAAAATAATGAAATCATTCATTTGTTGGCGAAATTATGAGAAAATCAAAGAAATTTAGGAGAAATCAGAATAAATTTTCGAGAAATCAAAAAAAAATCATTAGAAGAAATTACAGAAAAACAAATAAATCAACAAAAAATTAAAAAAATATAGGAAACCAGAAGAAATTTTCAGAAAATCAGAAACAATGAAGGAAAATCATCCGTTTCTTTGCAAATTAAAAATAATCTTGAAAAATCAGAAGAATTTAAGAGAAATAAGAGATAATCAGACAAAATTAGTCGACAATCAGGAAATAAGACGAAATTAAAAAAACCATTAAAGAGAATCCAAAAAAATTAGGAAAAATCAAGGGAATTCAGAAAAAAATATTAGAAAATCGTTTATTTGTTGGCAAAAAGTGTTGAGAAAATCAAGAAAAATCAGAGAAAATAAGAAAAATTTATTGGAGGATCAGAAATAATCAGAAAAAAATCAAAGGAAATTTAAGAGAAATATGAGGTAATCAGAGAAAAGAAGATGAAATTATAAGAAAATCAGTAGGAATCATGAAAAACATTAAAACTAAATCAGGGGAAATCAAGAGAAAGGCATTCAAAAATTAAGAGAAATCAAAGAAAATAAGATGATATGAGAGGATTTCATTAAGAAAATAGGAAAAAAGGAAATCAGAGGAAATCATAAGAAAATTGGTAAATTAGAAAAAATCTTAAATAAATCTATGAATAAATATATATAAATAAACTTTTATTCACAATAGAAAATGTTGAAGAAATCATGAAGAAATTAAAGGAATTTAGGAGAAATCAAAGGCAATTAAAGAAAATTTGTAGAAATCTGTGGTAAAACAAAAAAACTAAAATAAATTACACGAAAAATAAATTAAATTTTAAGAAATTCAGAAAAAGACATGAGACAATCAGAGAAATTCAAGAAAAATTTGGGGAAATCACTAGAAAATCAGGGAAAATCAGAGAAAGTAAGACGAAATTAGAGGAAATTATTAGGGAAGAAAAAATCATTCATTTGTTAGCAAATTATAAAAAATCTTGGGAATATCAAAAAACATCATAGAAAAATCAGAATGAATTTAAGAGAAATATGAGGAAATTAGGGAAAATAAGAAATTAGAGGAAATCATGAAAAAATCATTCAAAAATTAGGAGAAATCAAAGAAGATAACATGAAATGAGAGGATTTCATTAGAGAATCAGAAAAAATTAGGAAAAAAGTAAATCAGAGGAAGGCATAAGAAAATGTATTCATTTGTTGGCAAATTAAGAGCAAATCAAAATCAGAAAAAATCAAAGAGAAAAAAACATAACAATTTGAGAGAAATCACAAGTAATTAGAAGAAATTATTAAGAAATCAAGGAAAACATAAAAACTCTGCAGTATTATCAATTTCCTTTTCTTCAGTTTGCAAACTCGAACCGAACAATAATTTTCTTATCGTTTAGCCATCGGCAAGGAAAGTTATCAAAAGTTGAAGTCGAGTGTATTTACAAAATTTAAACGCGTCGTGACACTCCATGTAGTAGTAGCATGAAATTTCCTTAATAAATTTCTTCTCAAGTAACTTTACCAAGCAAGTAGTCGACTTGATTGGGGTTAATTTTATCGAGCTGTCCTTTATTCCAGACATATTCAGCTTTGAGTCCACGCTTTTTCTTATCTCGAACCCAGTCATCGATGAGATTACGTCCATCGAGGCGCCGACCTTCCTCTTTAGTTTGCTCTGGATCGTGAGCTACTTTTGGTAACCAATGTCTCCTTCCGCCGCCCAACAAGACCTGAAAAATTATTATTTTAATTAGATTCGTTGATGGAAAACATTGTTTCATTAAGCTCGACTTATCTGATAGCAAATAATTATACAAGAAACATGCTTCACTGCTTTAATTAAGTTACAGAAGCGCCCTGCTTTGTAAAACACAAACTTTACATTTTTTTAAACCAATAATAAAAAAAAGTTAAATTTATGATCCGGTATTTAATGTTGGAATTGAGATTTATTAGTCACTAAAATATAAAACTATTTTTTACTACTATTTAAGTCCAAAATTATTATGTCCGTTTTAGCATAAATTACGGTGTTTTATAGCTTCCAATAACAATTTTTATTGATAATCGATACCGTTAAAATTTACAAAATATGTCCAAAAGCGAGTTCTGTATTCGCTTCAATAAACACAAAGTATTGAAACCAAGACTTTGCTTTGTTTTCACTTTACAAAGACTGAGATCTCCAAAGCTATTAGCGTTTTAAAAATTTCCTCATGTTGGTTTAGCAAATAATTGTCCGGAAAATTGAATTTCGTAAAGTCGGTGGTGAAGAACTATTAAACTGCAATAAAGATGTACCGATTTATCGGAGAGTTGGGATTGCCAGATTAGAAATTTTCGGAAGCGATTTGTAATCTTAAATGATCAGTTTTCTAATAATGGTTCGAAATTTTCAAACTAAGGAAATTTATGTAACGTATTTGCCTCCATTGACATCGATAAAACACTCCTGTGTATGTTTCCATTAAGTTTATTGGGTATTATCTCCACCATACGTAGTAATCGTAAATTTTAACGGAGGGATTATTTCGAACTAGAACTGACCTTTTTCACTGACTTATGAAAATTGTTTACGCCAGTGGATGAATAAGATTGATTCGGTTTTTAACATCAAAACTTTGAAAAAAAAAATTTTAATCTTGGGGTGTAGTTTTTTTCAAGTATTGAATTTTTCTTAATAATTAATGAATGGTGATGGAATTACCAAATTATAATTTTGTTGGTAATTGACGATGTTCACATGGCTTAGAAGGAAATTAAGATTAACGATCACCTCTTACAACCCTTGCTTTTTGGCCTCTGAAACTCTGAAACTTTGCAATGTTTTAATAAATACAATCTCTGATGTTTAGCTTAACAATTCCCCAACACCGGCATAAATAATTAATCATTGCTTTTTGAAAATTGATCGAAATTTAAATTTCCAACTAATCAATTGTTAACACGATACATTTTGCTGCATTGAATACGAGATATTACCGGTTTTAGTAGAATCATTCCATCCGGGATGATCCCAAATTGAAATTCCAAATTCGGTATTACAATTAACAACAAGTCAAACACTATTATGCAAATTGGATAAAAAAATTGCCGAGACAAAGTTTTGTTCTCAAAACACGTGACAATACTTTGTTGTGGTGCTATTTCCTTTTGTCACTCTTTGAAGTAACAACATCTGAAAGCTTTCATTTCATTGTTTTCTTTGTCTGTTAAAAATAACATTGTCAAAACTGCTCGAATTGTACACGGGATGTTTATAAATCATCCTCACGTTTGTATTCAAACATTTTAATCAACATGAAAAAGTTTCTTTTACGTACTAAACAAAATATTTAAAAACAAGTACAAAGTGATCTAGAATGACTGTGTGTGTTGGCAAAGAACTCAAAAAATTATCAGAAAGAATTGGGAAAATAAAAGGGAAACAGAGGAAATCATGAGAAAATTGGTAGATTAGACGAAATCATAAATAAACCTATAAATATAAATAAATCTTGAGAAAATCAAAGGAATTTAGGAGAAATCACAGGAAATCAGAAGTAATCACAAAAAACCAAAAAAATCAAAATATCGGAGAAATCGCAATTAAGGAATCAAAGAAAATCTGGAAAACCAAGGGAATTTGAAGAAAATCATGAGAAAATCAGAGGAAATTATGAGAAAATAGGTAAATTACAAGAAATCTTGAGGAGATTATTAGGAAATTAAAGGAGTTTAGGAGAAATCAGAGGAAATTTGAAGAAATTAGGAAAAATCTGTGGAAATCAGAAAATCAGAACGAATCACAAAAAACAAAACAAAAAATTAGAAGAAATCACGAGAAAATCAGGGAAAATCAAAGAAAATAAAACGAAATCACAGAAAATTATTAAGGAAGAAGAAAAATCAGAAAAAACCATTCGTTTGTTAGCAAATTAAAAGAAATTTTGAGAGTATCAGAAAAAAAATCAGAAAAAAAATATTAGGCAATCGAGGAAAATCACGAAAATTCAAAGGAATTCAGATAAAATCATGAAAAAATCGTTTATTTGTTGGAAAATTAAAAGTCTTGAAAAAATCAAAAGAATTCATTGGGGAATCTGAAAGAATCAGAAAAAATCAAAGAACATCAGAAAAAAATATGAGAAAATTGGTAAATTACAAGAAATCTTGATTAAATCATTAGGAAATCAAAGGAGTTTAGGGGAAATCAGAGAAAATTTGAAGAAATCTGTGTAAATTAAAAAAATTAGAAGGAATCACAAAAAAACAAAAAAAATTAGAAATCTTGAGAATATCAGAGAAAAAAAACAGACGAATTTAAGAGAAATAAGAAATAATCAAAGAAAATCACGAAAGATCAAAGGAATTCAGAGAAAATCATGAGAAAATCGTTCATTTGTTGGAAAATTAAAAAAGTCTTGAAAAAATCAAGAAATAAAAATTAAAAGAAATCTTGAGAAAATCAAAGGAATTTAGGAGAAATCAAAAGAAATCTGAGGAAATTTGGAGAAACTAGGAGAAATTTTTGGAAATTAAAAGACCAAGACAAATAAAAAAAATAAAAAATATCATGAGTAACTTAAATGATATCAGAAAAATATTAAGAGAAATTAGGGGAAATCACAGAAAATCAGAAAAAATAAGACGAAAGCAGAGGAAATTATTAGAGAAAAACAATCAGAAGAAAATCATTCTTTTGTTACCAAATTAGAAATCTTGAGAATATCAGAAAAAAAAATCAGAGGAATATAAGAGAAATAAGAAGTAATCAGAGAAAATTAGATGAAATTATAAGACAATCAGTAAATCTCGGAAAAAATAACACAAAATCAGAAAAAAACCATTAGGTAATCAAAGAAAATTAAGAAAGATAAAAGGAATTTAGAGAAAATCGTTTATTTGTTAGTAAATTAAAAAAATCACGAAAAATCAGAGAAAATAAGACGAAATCAAGAGAATTCATTGGGGAATCAGAAAGAAACAGAAAAAAAAACAAAAAAAAGATCAGAGGAAAGAATGAGAAAGAAATCTTGAGGAAATCATTAGGACATCAAAGGAGTTTAGGAGAAATCAGAGGAAAGAAGAAACTAGGAGAAATTTGTAGAAATCACAAGGCATCACAAAAAACAAAACAAAAATTAAGAAAACACGGGAAAATTATAGGAAATTTTGAGAAATTCTATGAAAGAATCAGAGGAATAAAGAGAAATTAAAGAAAAAAAAATTAAGAGAAATTAGAGGAAATCACTAAAAAATCAGGGTAAATTAAAGAAAATAAAGCGAAATCAGCGGAAATTATTAGAGAAGAAAAAAATCAGAAAAAATCATTCCTTTGTTAGCAAATTCCGGATCATGAGAAAATCGTTTATTTGTTGGAAAATTAAAACAGTCTTGAAAAAATCAAGAAGAATCAGAAAAAATAAGACGAAATCAAAAGAATTCATTGGGGAATCAGAAAGAATCAGGAAAAATCAAAGAAAATCATAAGAAAATTGGTGAATTGAAAGAAATCTTGAGGAAACGAAAAGAATTTAGGAGAAATCAAAGGAAATCAGAGGAAATTTGGAGAAACTAGGAGAAATCGTAGAAATCAAAAAACCAAAACAAATCAAAAAAAAATTAAAAGAAATCCTGAGAATATTAAATAAAATAAATTTTGACACAGATATTAAGGGAAACTTTGAAAAAATAAGACAAAATTAGAGGAAATATGAGGGAAGAAAAAAACAGAAAAAATCATCTTGAGGATATCAGAAAAGCATCATAAAAAATCAGAAGAATTTAAGAGATATATGAGGTAATCAGGAAAAACAAAAAGAAATTATAAAAAAGGAGGACAGAAAATAAAGAAAAATCTTGAAAAAATCAAGAGAAATCATAGAAAATAAGATGAGATGAGAGGATTTCATTAGGATTCTATCTAAAAATCATAAATAAATTAGAAGAATTGCCAATTTCCATTTAAAAATTAAATTCACTATTGCCAACAAACTCAGTCATTCTGAATCACTTTGTACATTGTTGCCAACTTAATTTCAAAGTCAGTGGCCACTTTGATAAACTTTAAAGTATGGTTTACGTATTTTTCGAGGTAATAATTCATCAGAGTAGTGGTTTGCACGTCACTTGAAGCTCAATATCAAGTCTGACATATAGGGTGAGATAAAGGTAATTGCGTCCAACACTAATGGACACTTTGTAACTGAGAATTCTAATTACACACACCTGTGAATATCGAGCGAACTGTGAAACAATAGTAACAAGCTTTGACCCATTTTTAATAAATTATTTACAACTCAGAGACGTGTCAATAATTAGTCGTGCCACATTTAATTAAACGATTAGATACTAATGCGTAGTTGAGACTAATTGTAGATCAAACGTTGTTCACTCCCCTAATGACTTGAAATTAATTAGTTAAATCACGAGTTGAGAAACTCTTCAATGACCGAATTGCTCTCTACTTACGTTGATATTCCGTCCAGGATCATTTTCGATGAGTTGCCGTGCTAAATCCTTGCAGGATTTTCGAGACGCTGAAGGAACTTTTGAATCGTCCTCCCAGTAGCGTGACGGAGAATGACCATACAAAGCCGCAGGAGTGGCATGAGTTATTCGGGTGTTTGTCACAATTCCTGTCGATTTTCCTGCAACAATTAAATTTTTTTTTCTTATAATAAATCTATCTATTACTCAGCAAATTTTCTCGTGCGTGCAGACAAGCGAGACACTTCTTGATAATTCCTGAATCGACGAAGAACCTATCTGGTATGCATCGCTGCCTCTTCTCTAACAAACTAGCGATAACTTCGACATTCCACCCTTTCGTACATAAGTTATGAAGCTTCTACAACTTCCATTTCAATTAATTGTTCTTTGAAAATAGAGCTGGCTTGCAATTCAAGACAATACTCAACGATTATCAGGCGGGAATTGCACTAAGTTGGGAAATTGAGACGCGGATAATATATTAATTTTTTTCAATAAAGTGAAAAAATGTCAAACAAAGCGAAAGACTTGAATCATGGATAAGTTATATAATATTGTACATAGCTCAATGAGAAATGGTCGTATTTAGATTTAAAAAATCTAAAATCTCTTTTCAGTCTTGAAATCTTTTGGTAAAAAATGTTTTTAGCTAAAGTTATTAACGTAATCTTAAGAATTAGTGCAAGAAAAAAAAATTTTTTTTGGTCCACGGACTTGGAGAAATTTTTAAATCAGAGGAAATTTGGAGAAACTAGGAGAAATTTGTGGAAATCAAAAGACCAAGACAAATAAAAAAATCAAAAGAAATTATGAGAAAATTAAAGAAATCAGAAAAAATTAAGAGAAATTAGAGGAAATCACAGAAAATCAGAAAAGCAGTGGAAATTATTAGGGAAGAAAAAAATCAGAAAAAATCATTTGTTTGTTAGCAAATTAAAAGAAATCTTAAAATTATCAGAAAAACATTATAAAAAAATTAGAAGAATTTAAGAGATACATGAGGTAATCAGGGAAAACAAGAAGAAATTATAAGAAAATCAAAA